CAATTCCATGATACATCACAGCATTCCAGTCCTCTCCTGTCAGAATCTTATGAGATAAAATATATTATGGAAATATTGTATTTCAAATGCATATCAAATGAGAGTGTTCAGACACATATCACCAGATGGTCAATACCTGAAACACTGTCAGGATAGCAGCTGGGAATGTGTCAAAGTTGGTCGTCGGGGTCTCATCTTCAAAATTAAACCTAGAAGAGAGATGATGAGCTGTGAATCATTTTCTTGGATGAGCCTTATGTGTATGCTTAGGAGCCAGCTTTGCTCTAATTTCAAAATCGTTCATTTTTTCAATTTGTTTGCTCGCAAAGACAGCAAAAACTGTGATATTTTCTAAATAATAATGTTTCTCTTCATCTGCATATAAAAGTTCAGCTGAGCTCCTCTCTGCATCACCATTCTCTTCCATGTACACTCTCAGGGGCTCTGTAGGGGCCTCATTACTAGAGAATGTGGAGAAATGCTTAAAACGAGAGAAGAAACATCTCACAACTAAAGGCTTGTTTACATTATTCTGGAAAACAAAAGTGATGCCTTTCTTTGCCCAACCACCGTTACTCATTTTATTAGAAGAAAATAGCACAAAAACAATATAATGAGAGAAAACTGAAGTTAATGATGATTATAAACAAGTGAAATGTTGCTATATATTCATATCTAAAATTGTTTTGATTTTAGGTATATAACTTTCGTAAAATCATATGTTGCATCATATGAAACAAAATCATACAAAGCCCCAACAATGAAATCTCATTGGTTCAAAATCCATGTAGTTGCATATTAATCATCAGATATGTTCTGATCAGCTGTGATTGTTTCATTGTGCAGCATTATATATATATATTATATATTATATAATAACAGTCTGCTCTGACTGTTCTCAATAGCTCTGCTCTCTGATGTGCTTCACAACCAAATGTATGAAACCGTCTTTCTCATCCAACCCAGAAAATGACTGCATGGATCAGACAGTCAGTTTATTATGTCCATCTACAGTCTTAAATATTAATGTGCTATGGAGTTGAAATCCAGTACCAGAGAAGCACAAAAGCAATTTCTCATTTCACTAAGCACAGATCTGGAAAGCCTTCACCACCATCAGAAGGGAATAGTGTCTCCTGCAGCTCACATTGTTATGTTTCAATAACATTTTCTAATTTTGCACCGACTATTTGTTTATCTGGCACTCTTCTTATTACAGTAGATCACATGACAGCGTGTTTGCGCATCTAAGCTGATATTTCCCTCATGGGAAGCGTGTGTAGAGGCAATTTCTCTGTTGCAGCGTACGATTAATAATTCATAGAACAGAGAAATGAAAACTTGTGCTGTCTGGATCAGCTCAGTCATGTTTGTTAACATGTTGCTGAGGGGTAAATGATACGACAGGGCTTGGAAGACTCACAGCTGCTTATGCAGAAAGGAACGTAAACAATAGGGAGGGTTTTTTTTCCACGTCAAGAGATGATTTATGCATTTTCAGTCAAAAGTACAGCACAAGTACTCTGAAAAGTAAAGGGCCTACATAAGCGGTTCTCAACTGGTGGGTCGAATTCCAAAAGTGGGTTGCAGGCCTGTTCTGACTGCAGACAGTAGGGAAAAACAAACATAATAAAATTCAACCAACCATATTATTGTGCATAGTTAGGGCAACAAATTGAAAAGCCTTATTTAAGGAAGAGAAACACTTCCTATATCTTTTGTTGACAGTATTTTGGCACAAATTCATTTGTGTCTTGGTAGAAGCCAGTTTTTAAATACATATTCAGTTACAACCATGGTTTGTGCAGTACACAATTTCAGAGCATGAAATCAGTTAGAATTAGGAACCAAACATTCAAACTTTCAAAACAAACACCTGTTATCAAATAAGGTTTAGGGTTATATTAATACAATCCATTGTTTAATTTTAGGTACTTTTTTTCACTTTTGCATGATAAATAATTTTGGGACTGTATTGGCTTGTCCAGTGTAAAACCTAAAACAACATGGACTAGATGACATGTGAGTGTAACTCTCAGCCTGGTACTTACTGTCCTCCGAAGAGCTGCATTCCCAGCAGAGCAAACACTACAATGAAGAGAAAAAGCAGGAACAGGAGGCTGATGATGGACTTCATTGAGTTGAGCAGAGACACCACCAGATTCCGTAACGAGTTCCAATACCTGCCGAAGCATTCCATGATAACATAGTTTAGGGAAAGGAATATAACTTGATTTGTGGTATGATACTGTACATAAATTCATAAAGTCAGACTGTTGAACTACTGAGACTTAATACACGAATCAAGTGTGATAATACAGCCATGCCATGAATTGGAGCACTTGTTACACCTCTGGCCCATTAAATATTTTATTATTTTATTACATCGTAATTCAATGGTCAAGAGTCAATCATTCCACTTATCCTATACAACAAATTTCAAAAATCAAGATTTTCTTCTCATTGTTATCCAGTTTCTTGTCTAGTGTCTTTTGAAACTTCATTTGAAACAGTCAACAAATCAGAATCAAGTATTTAACTATTGTATTAATAAATTCATGGTATAAATTAGGGGTAGACGATATACCGGTAGACACGATTAACCGGTAGAAAT